TCTATCTATCTATCTATCTATCTATCTATCTATCTATCTATCACATGTATTCTATCTATCTATCTATCTATCTATCTATCTATCTATCTATCACATGTATTCTATCTATCTATCTATCTATCTATCTATCTATCTATCTATCACATGTATTCTATCTATCTATCTATCTATCTATCTATCTATCTATCTATCACATGTATTCTATCTATCTATCTATCTATCTATCTATCTATCTATCTATCACATGTATTCTATCTATCTATCTATCTATCTATCTATCTATCTATCTATCACATGTATTCTATCTATCTATCTATCTATCTATCTATCTATCTATCTATCTATCATCTATCTATCTATCTATCTATCTATCTATCTATCTATCTATCTATCTATCTATCACATGTATTCTATCTATCTATCTATCTATCTATCTATCTATCTATCTATCTATCTATCTATCATCTATCTATCTATCTATCTATCTATCTATCTATCTATCTATTCTATATATTACATATCGATCTTGCTGTTTGTTCTACAGTTTACTGATGCAGATAACGTGCTGACCAATGAGCAAGCAATACAACTGCTTGTGGCGGAGAATAAAACCTTGGTCGCCCCCATGTTGGACTCCCAGACGGGTTACTCTAACTTCTGGTGTGGAATAACACCCCAGGTAAGACAAGGTAGTAACAGTGACACCTGCTGGTGAGGCATATGGAAAGTAGTAAACAAGGGTTGCCTCCTATAAGTGGACTTTAAGTGTATATACACCCTGACAATGAACGTCTCTTATTTGTTATATCTGTTCGATAGGTGTGAACAAATACCTGTTGAACCGCCAGAAATATCACTTAACATTGTTTTCAGCTCTCTCTCTCTCTTCGGGGGAGAAGAGGGGGAGGTGTTCTTGTAGTTGTGTTCTAGGGTGACACTTCTTCTTCATAGATGCTGTACAGTGGGTTAGTGTTGTCACCCTAGGACAGGAAGTCATTTTTCTATGTAGTAATATTCTCACTGTCATGTTGATAATCCACCTTTGTGAGTACCTGTCAATTTATATTTTACCTTATTGTTGAATAAAACTGATCTGCACTAGGAAAAGGCGCCCCCTTTTTGTCTTTTAGTGATCCCAGTCTCCCTGACTGTCTTGGGGCTGCTTCCTGCATAGATGCCAAAACATTTAGCTCTCTATGAGAGACTGTGTATGATCTACCTCTGGCGCTTCCTGATACACCACTTCTCACTGTCATGTTGACCCAATTACTTTGGTACTTTGTAATTCTCTACAACGTTGCAGGAAACAGGAAATGAGAGATTTCTACTGGAGACACAGACAGCAATAAAAAGCTGGTGGGGTTTGTAGTAGTTATTATTGCAGCACTTGTCCTCTGATGGATATGTTCTCTCACTTGCTGTCCTGGTGATAATATTATTATTATTATATAGGATTTATATAGCGCCAATAGTTTGCGCAGCGCTATACAATATAAGGAAGACATTACAATCACAATACAATTTAAGACAAGATGGTAAGGAGGGCCCTGCCCGTGAGGGCTTACAATCTAAAAGGGAGGGGCAAGTGATACATGAGGAGGGAGCTGTGTGGGGATGATTGTTTGAGAAAGTGATTGTCACTGGGCCAGGAAGTGAGGGTAATCTCCCCAACAGAGCCATATAGCAGTAAATACCTGGAAGAGGTTTTACCTCCTTCCCCCTTCCATCTAAAACTGCTTGGACCTGTACGCTGATGTATGAATTCTCTCTTTTGTTGTAAGGGATTTTATCGCCGGACGCCAGATTATTTCCCAACCAAGAACCGCCAAAGAACTGGCTGTTTCCAGGTGCCCATGGTCCATTCCACCTTCCTCCTGGACCTCCGTAAAGAAGAGAGCCACAAGCTGGCCTTCTATCCTCCCAGTCCTAATTACACCTGGACCTATGATGACATCATCGTCTTCGCCTTTTCCTGCCTGGCATCAGGTACATCACTTTGTCTCTATAGTCCTGGCGTTGACTCTTGTTGTCCATCTCGACCTGTGCTGAGAGAAATGTAGAGGTTGCCGTAACGTCTTTCTGAAATTGCTGATTGCCGGGCTGTCCGGGGCTTCAATCATTTCTGGGTCTTACCCGGAACAAGCAGATCTTGATCTACATACTTGTTCAGGTCTGTGACCCTGAACGTATTGAAGTCATTGGGTCAGCATTAGAGGTGCACTGAAAAGAAAATGTTAAAACCGAATGGAAAAAAAAATGTTGGACTGAAACCAAAAAACCCGCTCTCCATTCTGACACGCTGTCACAGTAGGCTGAGCAAGCAGTGCGGGAGAAGAGCTCAGCCTCCTGTGACAGCGCTGGCTGTCTCCGCCCACCCACTGCTCTCCTGATCTGTCACAGGAGGCTGAGCGGTGTAGGAGAGACCCCGGCCGATCACATCACTCTCCTCCCGCACCACTCGGCCGCCTGTGACAGTTTCTCTGGAAAGAAAGCAGGGATGCACCGCCGATATGTTTTGGCGGCTGATATATCCCTAGTCAGCATGACAATCTGGCAGCTGGAAATACAAGTTGCCAAGCTGTCTTTGGCTTTACCGCTTTCAGGGACTTTGACCCTGGAACAAGGATGAGGATTAGAAGTGTGGAACTGCATGCTTGTTCCTCTCATAGGGGTCTATTCACGAAGCTGCCGAAGGATCTAGCCGTAGCTTCGGCCGATCCTTCGGCCCCAGGACATTGCTGCAGTTCTCCATCAGGTCCATAGGCAGAGGGCTGGTACAATGCTGGTTTACTATTGGCTATTGCAAATTGAAATAGCCAATAGTAATGTACCAATGCATTTCAATGGGAAAATTTCTTTTTTTTTTCTATTCTGACATCACTATGTGTCAGAATAAAGAAAAAAAAGACACAGCAGTGTTTCTAGCTCGGTCATTCACTCAGCTGCCCTCGGCAGCTTAGTGAATAGACCCCTTAGTGTAATTGGATCAGCATCACGGCCAGGTACCCAGCATTTTCAAAAAGAGAGGTCAGCAGTGACATGCTGGCCGTTTTTCTCATTACAGTTTTTCCTTGAAATGGTTGTTACCTGTGCGTTTTCTTTTAGGAGTACAGGGCTACATATGTAACCAACACCGCTACGGTTATGTCAACATCCCAGCCCTGCCGCATCAGGAAATTGAAGACGACAAGCTGAATTTTGTCCACCTTACACTGGAATCTATGGGTGAGCAATTACCTGCAGGACAATAAAATGTATCTAAACCAAGAAAAAATGTCATATATTGCAGCTTACCAGACCATAGATTCAGTGTCTTTACATTGACAGACTCTAGAAGTCTTTAACCTCTGGGTTATACTGCCGCCTACATAAGGGCTGGACACTGGCCAACAAATAAACTTTAGGCCAGCCCAGGCTACCGGCATTACTCGGTTATTTGCTAGTGTTCTAGGAGGATGGACATCTATTATTCAGCTCTGCTGCTATATAGACAAACCTATTGTTATGCCATCCCTTTTTCTCTTTTTTAACTTTTTCTTCACTCAAGACTCTTCTCCATAAAGCTGTTGGAGGTTTCCCCTCTAACCAGCAGCTTGTCAGTGCAATCGTCCTCAGCCTGGCTTTTGGAGCACTGCACCTGGACCCCACTGAACTGAACGTTGTGGAATGACCTTGAAGTAACCCTACTCCTGAATGAAATGAGACCATTTGGCTCTTATTGATGCAGTGTGCACAAGATTTCGTTCGGATATGGTCTGTTCCCACTGGGGATCTGGCCGCGTCTCACCTTAACAAGGCACTTACTTTACAGGTGGAGGATGCACCTGGTTTTTAAGGACCCAACTGAGAAGTAGTTGGAAGCTCTTTCCAGAGCTCTGTCCTCACTGATCGGTCCTGCTCTACACCTAATCCTGGCTGTGACTTTATTTGTGAAACCATATCTGCCTGGTCTATAGTTCTTAAAAGAGATCCAACCCCTTCTGTTGGTGATCCCTCGCTTATTGAATCAAGAGATGAATGAAGATGGTTCCAGCAAACCATCTGGTTGGTTCCAGTTAAAGTTTGGGTGAGGGTTTGCTGGAAGCCTTCGGTCTCATCTTTCGCATGTGCCTTATGTCGATGCATATGCAAAGGCTAGTACGCAGTCAGTTTAGTGCCTTACTCTTGGACCTCCCCTCTGTACCTCAGGTGCTCACCAGGGTGTTGTCTCTAGTATTGGCCCAATTGCATTCTCATGGCATCCCCATTGTGGGACTTAGACAACCTCCTGTTGTGGATCAGTTGTTGAGGGCTCTGTCAGACAACTTATCTCTTACTGTTCAGACTATATAGAGGTTTGGATGAATACTCAACCTTTAGAAACCTTCACTAGAACTGACTTATCCCCTTGAGTATCTAAGTCTGGTCCTGGACACATCTCAGACCAAAGTCTTTCTTTCCCAGGAGAAACTTCAGATTCTCTGGTCTCAGGTTTGAATCCTCAGCTTTGCCAAGTTTCACTCCAGACATCTGCATTGCAACATTCTATTATCGTGTGACTAGTCAGTCCCGTCTCTGGACAGGCCAATTTGGTTCACCATAAATAGCAGGCTATCCCTGGCTTGGTGGCTCAGAAATCCAGCTCTGTAGTCAGGGACGTCTATTCTTGTCTTTTGGAAGATTCTCATGATGTACGCTTTCCTGTTGGGCTGGGGAGAAATTCTAGGCAGATTGTCAGTGCACGGGACTTTGCAGTCCCTTTAGCCTTGGACCACCCTGTTGGAGGGTCATACAATCTGGGTTTGGTTGGAGAATGCCAGGGTGGTGACATACATCAACCATAAGGCCTCGTTCACACCAGATGCAGTGCGTACTTTTTTGTGGGGCAGGAGGGGGCGTGACAGGCCATTGAAGTGAATGGCACCGTAGCCACGCCCTCCAGCCGCACGGGATCGCAAGGCACATTATGCCTGCGGTCCGGTGGGATAAAAATGCTGCAAGAACTATTTTGATCGCACCGGACCACAGGCATAATGTGCCTTGCAATCCCATGCGGACGATCGCATTGCGGCCGGAGGGCGTGGCTACGGTGCCATTCACTTAAATGGCCCACGACGCCCCTTCCTGCCCCAAAAAAAAGGGAGCCGGCCGCAATGCGACTTTTTTGTCAACCTGGAAGGACCCTGTGAGCAGTGGCGTAACAACCGGGGGGCGGCCCCGGGCGAAAAGATGAAGGGGGCGCCGGCAGAAAATGGCACTTTTGGCTAAATGCCGAAAGTGCCATTTTCCTGCCGTTTTGTCCGCGCAGCCGTGATTTCTTTCCTCCCCGCTGGGCGCTGCTCTTTGTCCCAGCAGGGAGGAGAGAAAGTGACAGCCGGCCGAGCGCAGCGGGAGGAGACCGCCGTGATCGGCCGGTGTCTCTCCTCCCACACCGCTCAGCCGCCTATCACAGTCCGGCAGAGCGGTGTGGGGGCGGAGACAGCACTGTCACAGGAGGCTGAGCTTTCCTTCCTACGCCGCTCGCTCAGCCTCCTGTGACAGCGTGTGTCTGTGTCAGAGAGGAGAGCAGGCTACATACACTCAGTGATCGCTGAGTGTTTGTAGATAATTGAGGACATGGTATGGTTACTATATCCTCAATTATGAATGAATGGGAAGTGATCTACATCCCCTCCTGTTCATTCATAGTTGTAGTTATCGTAAACATACTATATTCTCAAGGAACAGGAACACTCAGTATAGAGGATTTCTGTTCATTGATAACAGGGGACACAGAAAATGAGAAGAGACTGCTTTGGCTTTGCATTCCACCATCTCTAAGCGGCTCAGACAGACCATCATTCAAGTTTATGGTCTCAAGGCTCAGATTTCATCCTTTCCTGTCAAAGCATACTACACTAGATCAGTGAGTGCTTCTTGGGATTTTCAGGATCAAGAAACTGTTTACCAGATTTGCAAAGGTGCCACATGGCCTTCTGTTCACACTTTCTCTAAGTTCCACCATGAGGATATGTCGGCCTCATTTGAAGCTAAGTTCAGATGTAAGGTCCTTCAGGTGGCTCTTTGAGCTACAAGCAGTCTCCAGTTCTGTTGGGGTTTTTGGGGTATGTTAGCAATTGTTTGCTGTGGTCTACCCATCGGTTGGGACTGTTTTTGGCGTCCTGAAGGTTACAGACTTTCTGCGGCCCTCAATGGACGAGAAAGAAAATAGAATTTTTATCCTCATTGTAAAATCATTTTTTTGGGGTCAATTAAGGGCCACAAGTCCCACCACTCTGTGTTCATGATCATGCGCTCAGTACTATTTTGCTTCAAAACTGGTCATGTGGGTAGTTGGAAGGGTTATCCTGGGTTGGCCTACAGTTTTTGTTGTTTGCCAATGTCCAATGTTCCTGTAAGCAACAGTATACTTCGGAGGTTAAAGGCTTCCCGTGTCCCTCTGTGACCTCCAACATTTTACGGTGAGAACAAAAATTCTATTTTTCTTCACTGCCACCCACACTGCTTCAGTAGCTGGTCAGCTTACACATTTCCCTCGCTACAGGTTTCCTTTAACAGCACTATTCTGCAACCCATAATGCAGTGCAGATGCCTCTTAGTAGGTCACCGGGAACCAAATAGCATTGTGTGATAAAAGGACTTGTATCTTAAGTGTATCTGTGCTCAAACCTCTTTTTTTCTTAGGTTTGTATAGAGAAGCTGATGGTTAAAATTTTGTTAGTTTCTTATTTTTTTTTAGCTCTCTGTGTGCTGTTTAGGGAGAATTCCCTTCACTTCCTGTGCTGGAAGCACAACAGGAAGTAATGGGAAATCCCATTTTGGTTGTCAGAAGAACAGGTGTCCCCATTGGAAGATTTCCCCTCTATTCCTTCTCTGCTGACCACTGTTGGATTTCCCATGACTTTCTAGCAATGGTCACCAAGACAAACAGAGAGGGCGAATCACTCTAGCAAAGACAAAAACAGCAATAGAAACCTGACGAGTAAACAAAAATTATATATGACAGGAGGAAATGATGGAACCATATTGTAACTATAACTCTCTGCTTTCCTGCAGTGGAAGGATATCCATTTATTTCCTCCCAATATGTGACTCCTCTGCCAAAGCATCCTGACAAAATGGAGTTTGATGAGGTAATATCAAGTGTACAGAATATTTTCTGCTGCCTTAAAGCTGATCTTCAGGAAACCATGGCCACATGACACAGTGGGCCCCAGGTCTTCTATCTATCTCACTGAGAAGGGAGGGTCTTTCTTCTGATGCCCATGTTGCAGTCTGGTTGGCATGTGGCAAGGTGGTCCTCTTAGGGTTCAGTAGACTGAAGTGTCAGGATGACAACACCATGAGGGGACCAGTCAGCGGCAAGGACAGACTTAGGTGCTGGATTACTGGTCTCTACTCCTTGAAGAGTGCCAGCAAGAGACAAAAAGGGTTTAAAGGAATGTGGATGGGTGGTAGAGGGCGGAGGGGGTTGGAAATATTGGCCTGGAGCTGCCCTTTAATTACGATACAGTTATTGGTTACCCCTCTCACAATGCATGCCCAACTTATTCTGTTTTTAGATACAGAGTCTTGGTTCTGTATGTTGGAACACAAATGTATCTGACTAGCTGTACCCATCACGGGCAACTTCTTTAGTCCAGTATTACAATAGCTGTACCCACCACTGCCATCGTCTTTAGTCCAGTAGTACACTAGCTGTACCCACCACTGCCATCGTCTTTAGTCCAGTAGCATGCTAGCTGTACCCACCACTGCCATCGTCTTTAGTCCAGTAGTATGCTAGCTGTACTCACAACGGCCATCATCTTTAGTGCAGTAGTACGCTAGCTATACCATCCACCGCCATCTTCTTTTGTCCAGTAGTACAATAGCTGAACCCACCACCGCCATCTTCTTTAGTCCAGTAGTACACTAGCTGTACCTACCACCGCCATCTTCTTTAGTCCAGTAGTACGTTAGCTGTACCCACCACTGCCATCGCCTTTTGTCCAGTAGAGCACTAGCTGTACCCACCACTGCCATCGTCTTTAGTCCAGTAGTACGCTAGGTGTACCCACCACCGCCATCTTCTTTAGTCCAGTAGTACGTTAGCTGTACCCACCACCGCCATCTTCTTTAGTCCAGTAGTACACTAGCTGTACCTACCACCGCCATCTTCTTTAATCCAGTAGTACGTTAGCTGTACCCACCACGGCCATCATCTTTAGTCCAGTAGTAATACGCTAGCTATTATATTGTATAATCAAGCCCAACTTCAGCCAAAACTTGGAAAGAGTAGACACTTCTGTCAAGTTTCATTACTGTCTGTGATCAGGAGATTTTATGTCACTTCCTGTCTCTGTGATGGCAGGAAAAAAAAAAATGAGAGGTGCCGTTGTCACAGGAAATCTAGAAGGTAAAAAAATAACCCGGTGAGTAAATGTTCCTGTCTGGACGGACTGGTCTACTGACACCCCAAGCCTTCTTTTTCTTTCCTCAGGTATTTCTGATTAATCTGCTCCGCCGCCCTGAGCGTCGGGAAAGAATGTTGCGCTCTCTTTATGAGCAGGAGATCTCCTGCCGTGTGGTGGACGCTGTCGATGGAAGGTGAGCACTTTCTTCTTTGATTTTGTCCTGCCGTTCCTTAGAGTAGAACCGGTCAGGGCTGCAGATCATGATATGAAGAAATAGACACTGCATTATTATTCTGGGAAGCAATTTCGGTATAGAGTACAATGGGCATACATACAAGGACACAGCAGGTTATTCAGCATAGTGCCAGCTCCAAAGTCAATGAATAATAATATAAAGCATAACACATTGCAGACAGGAATACAATCTCAGCATACCAAAATCAACAGACAGCCCACCCTATCCAGTATGAGGCAAATACATACATGACATATTTTTTTACAGGTATGCTGCATGAATGGGAACATATAACAAAAATATAGTATGCCTTTCTCAAATTTGATGCCAAAAAGTGGAAATACATTTTAGCAACACAAGAGTGTGTCAGTCTTACCTATAAAGAAATGTGTAATTCTGTTCAGATAGTCTTGTCATCCTGGACCTGCCAGACAGCAAAGCCAAGTCAGTGACTTCACTTTATTTTCATTGTTGTTAAGCAATATAACCTGGTCACTGTCTCCATTCTTCTGATTGGACAGTGAAGGTGAATGACCACGCTGATAGATACCCTTCTGCATTCAGAATATGAACATACCCTTCATAAACCTGAATGTTCCTGAGACAGTTTAAACTGAACATACAATGAAAAAGATGCAGAGGTTCCCTTCAGTATAAAGTGCATGTCAGACATTAGCAGATCCAGATATACATTTTAAACTTTGTCTGAGTCCCCACCTCCTACCACCTCTCTAGTGTCTCTATTGGTTGCTTTATTTATTGGCTGCCTCACTGACCAAAAGAGGAGCTCTGGAGTTGTGGGTATGGCCAAATTCAGCATTAAAGGAATGGTTGCACGGTTGCAGCTGCATGCATCTGTGGATCTGCTGACTGTTTTGACATGACGTTTTCACTGTTGTTGGCCTCTCCATCTTTACATCATATCCTCAGTTTGAGTTGTCTAGATTTATGAAATGTCTGCTTTAGGGCCTTTTCATAGTTGTCCATCTGAATGCAGCAAAACTGATTTATTTTGCTGCATAAAGATACACGTCAAGTAGAAATCCCATGTTTTCCTATGTGGCTGGTTCACATCTAAGCACTGCAGTTTAGTGTGAGTGGGAATAGGGAAACTACACTGAGTGGCCAGATTATTATGACCACCTGACGTTTGTAGGCAAATTAGCTATAATTTTGCGCTGAAGTTGCTAGAGGGCCAGACCATTATAAATAGGGAAGCAGGTTGTTTACCACGACAGTAGAAGTGATTTGTTTCTGAAGATACGGGTAAACAACGCGATTTAACAGCCTTTGAACGTGGGATGATTGTTGGCACTCGGAGCCATGGAGCGAGTATCAGCAAAACAGCAGAATTTGTTAAATGTTCAAGAGCAGCTGTTGTTAAAGTGTTTAAAGACCGGACTGTCAGCCGAAAATCTGGGTCTGAACGTGCGAATTGTGGCCGTCGGCGACTAGTCAACGTTAGGGCGAAACGGAGAGTGGAAAGACTGGTACAAGACAACAGAAGGGCAACAGTGCAGTGTCAGATTCCTCGCATCACCTTTCAACATCTCGTGGAGTCACGAGGCGGCCCAACGAAGTCATCTTGTGGCCCAACGAAGTACTGATGGGGTGGTCATAATAATCTGGCCACTCAGTGTATATTGGCCCATTTACACCTAGTTGTGTGTGTTACCATACACAATACAACATACACAGGATGGTGTGACTCCAGTTTAATTGGCGTGCACCTTTAAGATGGCAGGACTGATGAGTAATGACTGGAGGAGATCTAAGCATTTCCTGGAGAGCGGAATCTAGTATATGGCCTGGTTGGTATAGGTACTGTTATTTTATGTACCTCTAGTTTTTATTTATTTATGAATAATTTAATTTTAAAATAATGTATTTATTTGATTAATTTGTCTGTCATTATAATATATGGAGTATAATTGTGTCTGTAGGTAACCAGTGAAAAAAAATGTCTGTAACTGTCTAATATTTGATTGCTGTTCCTCAAATCCCTCCAGTGCCTTGAACAGCAGTGACATCAAACGTATGGGCGTGAATCTGCTACCGGGATTTTATGATCCATTCTCAGGTCGGACTCTTACCAAAGGGGAGGTGGGCTGTTTTCTGAGCCATTACAAGATCTGGCAAGAGGTAATGTTGGCCATTTTTATTAAATGAAGCCTTATAGTCCGTTAATACAATGCATGCTGCATTGTAGGCAGGGCTGGATTTCCTATTAGGATCAGTAGGCCTATAGGCAGTAGAGAGGCAGCTTTTCTCTCTGGAGTGATTGGTGCACATTTTTTTTTATTCCATCATTCAGAGAAACAGTCATCCCGTAATCTTACTTAACACATTGTCACAATATTGTAATGCAGGTAAGGACCATTTCCTGTGGCTGGATTCACACCTACGAGAATGCAAGATATGATATGTGGTGCTTTGTGGTATCCATCATTTAGAATGCACAAGTACAGTAGCTGACAGTCTACTGACAAATCTAAACAATCTATTCAATTTGTATCAAATCAGGCAGTACAATTAGATCGTGTAGCATATAGTCAGCCATAGGGCTAGAATTATAGCGAGGATTAGTGTTAGGAGTTACAGGGAATGCAGTGTTAGGGTTACATTTATAGGGAGAGTTGGTGTTACAGTTATAGGGAGGGTTAGTTTTGGAGTCAGATTAATAGGGAGGGTTAGTGTTAGGATAAATGGTAGGGTTGAAGTCATAGAGAGGGATAGCTTTAGGTTGGGGACTAGAGGTAAGGTTAGTATGAGGGTCATAGGGTTAGTTTTGGGGTCAGATTTATAGGGAGGGTTAGTGTTAGGATAATTGCTTGGGTTGAAGTCATAGAGAGGGATAGCTTTCAGGTTGGGGATTATAGGTAAGGTTAGTGTGAGGGTCATAGGGTTAGTTTTGGGGTCAGATTTATAGGGAGGGTTATTGTTAGGATAAATGGTAGGGTTGAAGTCATAGAGAGGGATAGCTTCCAGGTTGGGGATTATAGGTATGGTTAGTGTGAGGGTCATAGGAAGGGTTGGTGTTAGTGTTACAGGAAAAGTTAAGGTTAGATCCATAGGGAGAGTTGGTGTTACGGTTAGAGTTATAGACAGGGTTGGCGTTTGGGTCAGTTACTGGAAGGATTCTGTGCCAGAAGCTACCAGTGCTGATCTTCTTCTGCTGAAAGCCAATGTATTTAATAGTTTAAAACAAGTTCTCTAGAACAATGTCCAAGGTCATTTGTCACTTACAGGATGTCACAAATGAAAGCAAGTTGCTAATTGGCTGCTATAGGAAGCACCTATAGCAGCCCTTCATAACTACTAATAACTAACAGCCCCGCATATGCAGACAGCCATTTTGATGTTAGGCCTCCCACACCCACATATATGCCGTAACATTGAGATCACCAACAGCAAAGAGGCTATAAACGCTGCTGGGCCACCAACAAGCCATGGCGGCATGAAGTGTTGGTAGAGTCACACCGAGGTGTGTGCCACTATGAAAAGAGCAAGGAGAGGTAAGGAGGGTCATATGGCAGGCTCTTAGATATAAATACACTTTATTGTAGTCCTTTGCATAGGAATTGTCTAACTTGTCTCACATATCCTTGTTTTCATCATCAGATTGTAGATAAACAGCTGGAAGTGACTGTAGTGTTTGAAGACGACGTACGTTTTGAACCGTTCTTCAAGAGAAAGATGATCCGTCTCTTGGGTGATGTTCGTACAGCCCAGCTGGATTGGGACTTGATGTAAGGTGTCACTTACTACAGATAAATACAGGATAATTGACTATACAATATGCGTATCCTATAGTAACCAATCAATTTTCTTTATTGTTGTCAGAGCACTGAGAAATCTCTGCCGATTGGTTATCATGAGCTCATAGTCTTTGCCATACTACTAATAAGGCTGTTAATGTTCCTTATGCTCATATCACTTTCTGGTAAGACTCCAGCTAACCATTCATCTCCCGACAGATACATTGGGAGAAAACAAGTCACGACAGACCCTGAGAAGGAGGTGGAGAATGTGCGGCATTTGGTGGTGGCAGATTATTCCTACTGGACCCTGTGTTATATGATCTCCCTGCAAGGGGCACAGAAATTGCTGAATGCTGAGCCATTATCGAAAATGCTCCCGGTGGACGAATTCCTGCCAATTATGGCGGACACACACCCAAAGTAGGTATCCTGGAGCACGTAGAGGTGCCACACTTTACTAAACTTCATGAATCTTATATATTGTAACGCTGGCCACGCACATTGCACTCCGATAATACCAACTACTCGTTTTAAAGGCAACCTGTGTTGAGGGAACTGCATTTGCCATTGCTTTGACCTCCTTCTGAAAACTCAGATTCCCTGGCTGCCACGCTTACCCTCTGGCATTACCTCTAGTCACTGATTTAAAATGAATATTGATATCTGCTATTCTAACTTTGCATATTCTGGGACAGAACGCAAAGCACGAAAGCTGAGAATAGGCAGCTAGCTTGCATTTTGAGAAGCAAAGGCGGCCCCCGTTTTTTTTTTGCCTAGAGGAAAAAAGAACTCCAGGTTTTAGAAACGTTAACCTTTAGCCCTCATTCGCACTGGAATCGGCCGGCGCGTACAGCTGCGTGCAGGGCCGTACCGAGCAGCTCCCGGGAAGGACAGGTGCTGCGTGTGATTAGTACGCAGCCCTTCTCTATGGGACTGTCTGCTTCCGAGCCAGGAAACACGGACCTGCACTTGCGGTGAGCGTAGGGGGGCGTACGGCCGCATAGACCCATAGAGAAGGACGAGGGCTGCGTACTAATCACACGCAGCACCTGTCCTTCCCGGGAGCTGCCCAATACGGCCATGCACGCAGCACGGAGCTGTACGTGCGGGCCGATTCCCGTGTGAATGAGGGCTTGCAGTGGAGACCCCTGCTCGTTTAGGTCTGCAGCGTAAAAAAAAAATATACTCACCCAATCCTCAGTCCCGTGAGAGTGACCGCTCACCTCTCTCCCCCTCCGCTTTGGCATGTCCCTCAGCGTATTTATGTCTAATAGACCTGTCCCTTAAAGAGGCTGCAGGGATCAGGTGAGAATATCTTGCTTATTTTTGCTCCTAGACTTAAACAAGCACTTAACCCTTGCAGTGCCGGGGTAGCCCCACTGCAAGGGTTCATCTTTCCAAAACCTGAAGTCCGTCTTTAACCACTTGCTGACCGGGGTATTAAACCCCCTTCCTGTCCCGGCCATTTTTCAGTGTTCAGCACTGCGGTACTGTGACTGACATTTATTCCGTCATGCAGCGCTGTACTGAAATTAATTTTATACCATTTTTTAGGGACAGATAGAGCTTTCTTTTGGTGGTATTTATTCACCACTGGGGTTTTTATATTTTACTATATAATGGAAAAAAGAACCGAAAATATTGGCACCCCAAATTTTGGGTAAAATATAAAAGTCGGGGTCATGTCGGGTAAATAGACACCAAACATGTCAAGCTTTAAAATTGCATGCGCCCGTGAAATCGCCAAAAATACTACCATGCCTAAATTTGGCCATAGGCTAAGCTTTAAAAGCTTTTACCGCTCATCAATGTAGTGTTATCAGTGATTGATGGGCCCAGAATTATTTCTCACACACTCACATTCGCGGCGATATGTAACATGGGTGGCGTAATTGTTGTTTTCACACATAGGCACACCCGACGCATATTTACGTTTATAAGCGTGTGCTTGTGGGGGACTTAAAAGTTTTTTGGGTGTTTTTTTTAATGTTTATTTTAATGTGGGACTTAAAAAATGTTTTTCACTTAACTTGATTGCTATATCTAATAGGGGGCTAACAAGCCCCCTATGTGATAGCCAATATACACTGATAGGTCCTCTTTATGGAGACATCAGGGGTCTCTAAGAGCCCTAATGTCACCTGGGGACCCCCAAAGAAGCGAATGAAGCAGAGATCTTCAGAGAAATGACAGCTAAAGGCAGAAGTGATGTAATATACATTGCTTCCGCCTTTATAGAGATACAGAGAGAGGGAGGAGAGATCAGCGGTGGGGGAAATGCTGATCTCTCCTCCTGCTCAGTACGGGCAGTCTCAGTGGCGTTCCCGGGTTCGCAAGAGGGACAGCGGAGCCCGGGATAACCGGCAGCGACGGGGCAGCGCTGCAGAGGAGAGGGGGGCGCATTGCACGATCATACAAGCGATCAGCCGTATGCAATGTAAAGCGCTGCGTAAATTGTGAGAGCTATATAAATACCAGTAATAAATACTAGGGATGCATCGATACTGGATTTTCGGTATGAGTACCAATATTTTTTTCCCGATACCGGAAGTTCCATTAAAGGAGAACTATGAGGCGAGTGCTTTTCACTCACCTCATAGTTCTAGCCGACCTGTGACAATGAGACTGTCACAGGTCGGCTCAGTAGATCGGGAAGTGAGCGAACACATACCGGCGTTCGCTCACCTCTTGATCCTGTCACGGCTCTCTGCCGTGACAGGGGAGGGGCTGTATTCCCCTCTCCCCGCTCCGATCCGCCAGCTGTAGCTCGCGGTATACTGCGCTTAGGGTGACGGGAGGACGTAAGTTTGTGTCCTCCCGTTACCCTAAGGAGAACTATGGGGAAAAGCCTTAACCCCATAGTTCTCCTTTAAGTAAGCCTGGCAGCGTGTAATGTCTCGCCGCCCGGCTTCCTTATTAGCAGAGAACCCGACTCCATGCTGCCTCGTCACCAGGTGACAAGGAAGCATAGAGACGGCTTTCTGGCCAATCAGAAAGCTGGGGGCAGGTAATGACTCGCCGCCTGCCTTTCTGATTAGACAGCTTCCCGACCAATCGGGAAGCTGGACGGCAAGTCATTACACGCCGCCTGGCTCCCTGATTGGCCATAGAGCCGGCTTCCCAGCCAATCAGGAAGAGGGGGGTGGGGATTCATTATCCGAATGTATCTGCTAAATAACCCGGTGAATGTTCTATCTACCCCTGACTTTCTTTTCTTTGCCTTTTGCCCACCAGTGAGAAGTATAAAAGCTATTTCTCCAACCGAAACTTGAGAGTGTTCTCTGTACAGCCACTCCTCGTCTTTCCAATCCATTACACTGGAGAACCCAACTGGCAGAGTGACACCGAGACCTCCACCCTCTGGGATGATGACAAGGTGCGGACGGATTGGAGCGGATCGCAGAAGACTCTTAAGGATTCAAGGAGAAACGTACATAGCGGGATGCAGTCCGTGTCACGAGACGAACTGTGATTTAAGACATTCAGTGAACAGTTTTCATTGGTGCTTGGTACATCTATTGTAGCTTGGAAGAGAAGTCCGCGGTTTGGAAAGGAACGCTCATTGATGTGACTTCTCTGCTGTGATATGGATTTCGGCCAGTCTGTCCATCCCGGCTGTAATTTTACGGTACCGGGTCAGACAATCATTACAGACACATATGATCTTATCATGAGCCATAAATGTTTGTCCGGATTTGACCTTGTTCAGCAGTTTTTCAGCATATTTGGGCAGATTTGATACATTATTCTGAACATTGGAACGTCTCCTAAGTGGACCAAGTCATGCAGTACTGTAAGTGTTAAAGAAGACCTCAAATGATCAGCAAAAAATAGAATACTGTGTGGTCAGTGCATTTCAGAAGAACATCCCATCTTTATTTAAGGCGTTCCTGCTTCTCTGCTCCTCCTAACATAGAAACTCGCTTTGTGGGTGTTACTCAGGCAGAGCTTAGCTTCCACCACCCCCTTGTGTACTGAGCACACCTGTCAGAAATGCTTTCAGTTCACCTATGCCAGGGGTAGCCAAACACTGGTCCTCCAGCTGTGGTGAAATTACAAATCCCATGATGCATCTCTCTCCGGGAGTCGTGGCTGTGAGAATGTAGCAATGCCTCATGGGATTTGTAGTTCCACCACAGCTGGAGGACCAGTGTTTGGCTACCCCTGACCTATTCCACCCCCATGTCTTTTCAAGGAGGCTCAACTGGACCCGCCGCCCATTGTTAGGATACAGGTGGCCACACAGCATCCTAAGTTGCCAGGAAGTAGGTGGCCGTCCACAGAGCATTATTGGTCTTTATGGTGCAGCCGTCTAAGTAACCAATGAGCCAGTGTGGGCTTGCATGTCTGCATCCTAGGAACCAATTACACTGCGCAGCCTGCACACCTTTGTCCTGGCAACCAGAGAAGCTTGGTGGTGGATCCAACTGAGAATATCAGTGCATGAAAAAACAGAGGGGATGGAAGAGGGGAACTGACACACCCCCCCCTCCTGTATACCTAGTGACAGTGCTTGTCTTCGGGTTCACCTGGTGCCGAAGACAAGTGAGTTCAATACCTGCTAAATAGATGTGTGGGCAGACAGTGGTAGGGAAAGGGGGGCGAGCTGTTCCCCACGTACCTCGAGAACAACACCACCTAGAAAGACGGTATAAAGTGCTGCGTGCACTTTTTCCCTGGGGGACACGAACAGCAAATACAATGTTTGAGGCTTCCTAACTCTAAAAATAGCATGGACAAAAAAAGGAACAAGCGCACTACCATGGGTACAAATTTGGCTTACAACAGGGCAGAAAAAACAGTGTGCGAGCTCTTGGAAACAGGGAGAGGGACCCTGTGTTTACCAGAAGGACAGTGTGTGTGTTAAGAGCGCTACTACTGTTTAAGCACCATTACACATTAAGGACCTCCTTCTATTCTTACCCGAGCTTGACAAAGAGGCATCGCCTCGAAACGCGTAGCGCTTTTCTTCTAGTACCGACACCCGCAATTACTACATTACACCCCCCTCATTGTCTCAACCGAAGTCCGATCTAAAAATAGATATTTATGTTGTTTATTGTTTTAAATATTATGTAAGAGGGAAGGGAACATATATATTCGAAGTGCTGCAGTTGAGAGTCCAGAATCTTTTAGGGATGCACCGATACAGATACCGAGCATTTGGGCGAGATACCGGAACTTCCAGCATCAGAAAGTCGGTCAGCGAGTCATTACATGCTGTTCGGCTTCCTGATTGGTCAGGAAGCCGGCTCCATGCTCCCTCATCACCAAGAAGCATGGAGCTGGCTTCCCGGCCAATCCGGAAGCAGGGGGCGGGCAATGACTCGCCCCCCGGCTTCCTGATTGGCCCGGGAAGTCGGCTCCATGCTCCCTCATCACCAAGAAGCATGGAGCTGGCTTCCCGGCCAATCCGGAAGCAGGGGGCGGGCAATGACTCGCCCCCCGGCTTCCTGATTGGCCAGAAAGCCAGCTCCATGCTTCTTTGTCAACTGGTGATGAGGTAGCATGGGACCCGTCGCTCCTCTATCCTGCTTTCAAGAAGCCTGTTACAATCTGAGCGCTGCTCTCAGGGAGGCTGATAACAAGACAGATTTAGTTACATTTGCCATGTGAAAGTAAAAATAATAATTTTAAATAGGAATGCACCGATACCGCTTTTTCCGTATCGAGTATGAGTACCGATATTTTTCTTTCAGGATAAGCCGTTACCGAGTACTGATACCAGTACTTCTGCAAGCATAGAGCTAGCTTCTTGGGCAATCAGGAAGCCGGGCAGCGAGTCATTACCTAACGTCCGGCTTCTTGATTGCCCAGGAAGCCGTCTCCATGCTTTCGCCGGCTTGATGCTGATTGGCTGGGTAGCCGGCTTCCCGGCCAACCAACATGGATCCGGCTACCCGGCCAATCAGGAAGCCGGGCGGCGCTTCATTATCTGCCGCTCGGCTTCTTGATTGCCCGGGAAGCCGGCTCCATGCTGATTGGCTGGAAAGCCGACTCACTGGACGATCAGCATCGCGCCAGCCAAACAACATGGAGCCGGCCTCCCGGCCAATCAGGAAGCCGGGTGGCGAGTCATTACCCGCTGCCCGGCCTCCTGATTGGCTGGGAAGCTGGCTCCATGTTCCCTCGCAGCACTGCCGGTCAGAGGAAATCTCCCTGTGACCGGAAGTTTCCGGTATCGGGATAAGTATAAGGTATTGGCTGGCACCGATACTAGTATCTGTATTGGTGCATCCCTAATTTTAAGTATTAAATCATGTATTTGTATACCAGTCTGGAGTTCAGCTTTAAATAGTGTTGCTGCGATACATGTTTGTCCTGGCGCAAGTGCCTTTGTTGAGCTCAGCAACCAAATGTTAATTATTTTGAAATTATATATTAGTAAATATACATGTGCACGGGTAAAACCTTATATGCTGATTGTAAACATGCTATTCTGGCTGTTCTTCCGGTTTAGTAGTCCTGCACAGTGATTGTGCTCTAAAGGAGAACTATGAGGGGAGTGCTTTTCACTCACCTCATAGTTCTAGCCGGCCTGTGACAATGAGACTGTCACAGGTCGGCTCAGTAGATCGGGAGGTGAGTGAACACATACCGGCGTTCACTCACTTCTCTATCCTGTCACGGCTCTCTGCCGTGACAGGGGGATGGCTGGATTCCCCTCTCCCCGCTCCGATCTGCCAGCGCTGACTGGCGGAACGGACGAGGGGAGGGGGCGGGTACAGCTGGCTCTGCCTCTAGATAGGCAGAGCCAGCTGTCACTCACGCAGCTGGGCGGATCTCGACATCGATGTCGAGATCCACTCCGGCTGCGGCGTCTCAGTATACCGTGAGCTGTACCTCGCGGTATACTGAGCTTAGGGTGACTGGAGGACGCTAGTTTGTGTTCGCCCTGACCCCATAGTTCTCCTTTAAGCTGATGATGCACCGCAGGCTGAATGAGAACAACCTCTTGATTTCCCTCTTCTATTTTAAACAGCGTGGATGGCGGAATCTCCCCTGCCAGGCTATTGTATCCAGACCAGAATACCTGAACAGTGATTGGTTGCAGTCGCCGTTTGGCCGACAATTTTCCACCTCGGCTCCTTTGACTGGGAAATTGAAGTTTTTGTTCCGGCAGGGCAACCCAGGGCTAGAATACAATTCAACAGGAATCGGGCAAAGTTCAAACCATGTATGACCAGCTTTACCCTCGTAACCCTTTACCAGGGTGGCATTGCAGGGGTAGGCAAACTCCAGCTGGGGTGAAACGACAAATCCCATCATGCATCTGCCTCTGGGAGTCATGCCTGTAGCTGCCAGAGTCTTGTAGTGCCTAATGGGGTTTGTAGTTGCACCACAGCAGGAGGGCCGGAGTTTGCCTCCCCCTGCTGCATTGTATTTAGTATCAGGCGGAGCCTACTACAACAGCGGTCGCCAACCTTTCGGACCTCATGGACCACTAAATTCATAATTTTAAATCCCGCGGACAACTAATATGAAACTTTTAAAAATATATATTCTCATATTCTTTGTTTCTTTATATATAAATATATTCTCGTGTGTGTGTGTGTGTGTATATGTGTATATAATTATATATATATATATATACACACACACACACATATATATGAATATATTTATATATGAAGGATGAGCCACCATTATCTGGCTTTGCCCCACTTTTTCTATGTCCCGCAGCCTGCTCAGTATGGGTACTGACAAGATGCCCCGCCTCCTGGAGAGCCCGCACTGTACTGAGAGGCGCGCATTCCTTGTGACAGCTGCTGCTTGAGTCAGTGAGCGGCAGCCCCGGAGGCCTCCGTGCCGCTTCATTGACGGCCCAGCCTGCACGGCATCAGAGGGGCCCGGGGACCACCAAAATTTTCTCGCGGACCACCTGTACTATAAGGAAGATGATGGCAGAAGGGACTAGTAGTAGCCATCTGAATCCTGTTCATCCGATGTCAGTGGTGAATCTCAGGAAACGCTTTGACACAAGATGCATATGGGGAGTGGTATCAGCCAAGAATAAAGGGGGACACCATGTACATAAAGGATGCAGTCATGTGACACAAGATGCATATGGAGTGTGGTATCAGCCAAGAATAAAGGGGGACACCATGTACATAAAGGACGCAGTGTAACATGGTGCCAGTAAAACCTGCCAGGTTGGCAGGAAAAGTGATGGATGGTAGATACATTTCTCCACGGATCCTTAGATTCATCATCTAAGGTAATGCCAGCATAGAAGTGGAGGTAAAGAAAAATAGCTCTTTACCTTGTATTGGTAAAACAAATCCTGGGGCTGGTGGTACTAGGAGTCTGATAGAGCTCTGGGTGGGACAGACTCCTAGTTCCATGGACCGTAGTTTAGTGAAGACTGCACAGAACTTCATTAGTGTGCAGCTGCACCTAGCTTGGGGGGGGGGAAGTGTGTGTCTCAGTGCAAGGAGAGACAGTGTGCTGAATGCAGCAAGTTATGTTTTTGGAGCCAAACCTGTCAGCAGGACAGTGTTCTGTCGAAGGACTGTAAATGTTCCCATAAAGGAAACGGGCCCAGCTCAGCGGACTATCGCTAATACCCAGTAAGGCTCAGTGGAGCAGACTTTTATTTGTTTATGACAATTTACATTTTTGGCTGGATGCCTGTAACCTTTTTTTTTGTCAACTGATTGCTGTCTGGAATTAAAGCTGGCATTTTTGTTGAAGAGACTGCGAGTTTGCCTCTACATTGAGACTGGTTCCCTACAGCAGTCATGTGACACAGATGCATATGGGGAGTGGTATCAGCCAAGAATAAAGGGGGACACCATGTACATAAAGGATGCAGTCATGTGACACAGATGCATATGGGGAGTGGTATCAGCCAAGAATAAAGGGGGACACCATGTACATAAAGGACGCAGTCATGTGACACAAGATGCATATGGGGAGTGGTATCAGCCAAGAATAAAGGGGGACACCATGTACATAAAGGATGCAGTCATGTGACACAAGATGCATATGGAGTGTGGTATCAGCCAAGAATAAAGGGACACCATGTACATAAAGGACGCAGTCATGTGACACAAGATGCATATGGAGTGTGGTATCAGCCAAGAATAAAGGGACACCATGTACATAAAGGACGCAGTCATGTGACACAAGATGCATATGGGGAGTGGTATCAGCCAAGAATAAAGGGGGACACCATGTACATAAAGGACGCAGTCATGTGACACAAGATGTCTGATCACGTCCAGTATGAGTTCTGTGTAACTGTCACTTGCTGTTCACTGATGAACTGGAACATCTCAGGTTTATAAAAGTCTAATAAAAAGTATACACCCCCATCCCGCTGTGAACGTTCTGATTTAATTGCTGGGAAAAGGGTTGGATGAGCCCGCCTAAAACTGAGGTTGTCATTTTTGGCAGATGCTTGAGAGTTAAAATAGTGCTGCTGATCCCCTGCAGATTTTTTTCACCCACTTCCTGCCTACATGCATTGCTCCAATGTTGCGCCATGCCTACGCAGTATGTGTGTTGGCACTACCAGGGGGGGGGGGGGGGGGTAAAAGGGGGGAC